CCCCGAAGCCAGGAGCCTCTTCCAGGTCTCCCAAAGCTTTGGGCCGGGCATGCAAGGCGAGGACCTTAACACTACGCCACCGCACCGGGCCCTTTCTGTGAACTTTTAAAGACCGCCTTCACAGACGCTTGCAAACTATACACTCTGCGTTTTACTCTAAGCCCTAAAACATATGATTAATCTCAATATCTCATCTCTAAGAAAATGCCACTGTTCAGAAGTAAATGTACATATGTGTGTGTTATAGTAGGTTGTACTTCACAGTCATGATACAGAGAATTCTCTATAAAATGCAGAATGTGGCCATCACCACTTGGCTCCAAGGCTAAAGTCAGAAGAATGCTTCAAAGTAGTTCCTGATTGTTCTCTGTCTGTCTGAAGGGTCTGTTGGCTTATTTCCTATTGATTCGTGTCTTCGCCCTCCTTTTTCCTTGATTAGTTGGGCTAGTGGGGAATCTATTTTATTGATTTTTTTTCAAAGAGCCAGCTTTTTCACTCATTGACCTTATGCATTGTTCTTTTGGCCTCACTTGGGTTATTTCCTCTCTTATTTGGCTTACTTCTTTTCGCCTATTAATCTCGGGATTGCTTTGCAGTGTTGAGCTCCTTCAAACATAGACAGCTCATTTGCTTGGCACTTTCTACTTTTTTTTTTTTTTTTTTTTTTTTTTGTAGACAGAAAAGTTTATTTGCGAAGGGACCAAGCGAACAGGGAAGGGGAAAGCACCCACGGAGTGAAAACCAGGATGTGGGGCGCCTCTCGAAAGAGGAGGGAGAGACACGAAAGGTTTAAGGAAGGGTCTTGGGATTTTAAGCATTCCCTGATGCCTCCTTGTTGCGCGGAGAACCTACAGGTAAGATGTTCTCCATTGGTGGTCTCTTAATTAGTTAGAAAATGGGTGGGCCATGCTGGTGCCGCCCACCTGGAGGTGTGGCCCAGACCTCAGCAGGCCTGGATGGTCGCAGACCCCCCTTTTGAAATCCCACATCCTACTTATGTAGGGGTAAAAGGTGATGATGTCTTCTGATTGCGTCCTGCTGCAACAGGGCGTTGTTTGAGTAAGGGGCTCCTGGAGGTGTGGGATCCACAGGGAGATGGTCCGGGCCATCCAAGTTGCTGTGGCAGAAGTTGGTCGTCATAAAAGTTTGCATGTTCAAGGCCACCTGGAGTCTGAAGACCCCTAATCAGGAAATAAACATAAGACAGTTGACAAGGCAGTTGCGTGCTCCATGTGGAGGGGGAGCCAGCACAGATGCAAACAGGGCCCATCTGGCTAATTCTCTCCAATTAAAAGCTTCATGCACCGTGCTAGTTCTGGGACTCCTGCCAATTCAAGTATGTTCTGGTTTTGCACTTGGACACACTCGTCAGAATGGCATGTGCTGGGAGTACTGAATTGAGGATACCCCTGGCTAGCTGGTGGCATCCAGGTGTGCACTCAAGACCACAGAGGAAGGGGCTGGGGGTGAGATCACTGCACTTGACTCAAGGTCTTGACCTTCCACGCCTTAGGGATTGTCTGCATGAGAACAGCTCGTGCCGAGGAGTGAAAAACGCACTCCTCTCCCCTGCACTACATTAGACCTAGGCTTTTGTTTGATAACCTCAAGTTGACAAGCCTGCTCAATAATGGGCCTGATTCTACAAACTTGCACGGTGATGTTCTTAATTAGGGCCCCATCCTGCTAGCTGCAGCAATGGTATGGGTTGACAAGATGGGGGAGGGGGCACATAGAAAACATCTGTTAGATGTCCTTTTGAAAAGCAGCTTTAAATCCTCCAGTGCTTCCCAGGTTGGTTCTGCAGGATGTGGTTGGCAAGGCGTGCTGGCCTCAGACCATACAGTCAATATATACACCAGGGGAAAATGGCCTTGCACATCAGGGACTCAGACTATCCATACAAGGATCTTCACCAATATATCTCATCCCCAATAAAGGGGCCGCTGTCTCCAGAATAACAAGGACAGAGTGGTAGAAGTGGATATCTCCCCAGGTACAAGTCCATGGCCAGAGATGTCTTGGACAGTTACTTTGAATAAATATCTGTCCAGGAGAGAAAGACAAGGAAGAATATTGAGCACTTGTGTCTAGCAAGAAATTGACCTTTTGGGAGCCAGCTATCAGGGAGACTCGAGGCTCATCAGTACAAACCCAGGTATTGGAAGCCTGGATAGGAGTCCCCAGCACCCGTCAAAGGGGGTCCTGGTTGGCAGATCCCTGCTCCCTCCGCAGCTAGGGGCAGTCCGTTTTCCAATGATCCTCGCTGCATATGGAACATGGCCTGGAGAAAACTCCTGGTCTGTGGTTCTTTTATTTAATTTCATCTCTTCAAGACACTTTTTTTTTTCTCATTAAATTCTTCACTGACTCATAGATCACATAATAGCATCATTTTCTTCAAGAAAAGTTTTGGTTTTCTTCTTCATTTCTTCAGTGACACATTAGTGATTTAACATCATGTTATCTAACTTCATGGTTGTAAATTTCTGTTTTTCTTCTTGTTGATTTTGCTTTGTGGCTTTTCATTTAAGGGGATGTATAGTAACTGTGTAATGGAGACTATCGTATGCAGATATGCGGATGAAATGCAGTATGCATCTCTACTTCCAGATCAAAGATGGACTCCAAGTAAGGGATGCTGGACTCTCTGCCATTGTCCATGCTCACCATGGACATGTTGGTGCTATTTGCTGAGTGAAGCTGCAGATACAAGACCTCTCTCCTGTCCAATAAATAAATGTACTTACCTTACAAAACAGATCCTTCACTGAAAGCCATAAGGTTTTCTTGTGAGACATCCTTACATTTGAAATTTAAGTGCATGCAAAGTAACTCTAATAGACATAAACATCTATATAACAAAGCTAGTTACCACTATACGGTACAATTAAAATCATTTTATTAGCATTAAATATATATACATATGAACTGAAGCAACAAAGATGAGCTTAATAGTTCTTAATAAATCATGTAAAAAATTCCAGAGGATAAAAATATTCGAAGACTCCATCTCAAGTCAAAACAAGCATTCTACTATTAGCTATATAATACTTATTTGAAAACTAAAAACTTTATAAGGAAGCATGAAATACACAAATTTCAGAAAGCAGCTTTGTTTTTTTGTTTTTTTAGTTTACCTGATCAAACACAAGGACAAATCATCAAGAAATTTAGAAGTTACATGATTTGTATTATTTAAAAAATGCACATATTATTTTTAAAGAAAGAAATTGTAACTCAAAAATACATGATACAATCACCAAAAGTTTAAACAGACATCTTAAATGTCATTTATTATATTAAATACATATACATTTTAATATCATGTATAATGCAAACAAGTAAGAAAAAGTTTGCATGGATAAAACTTCTGAATGCCATGTGCCTGATTTTCTAATATTAAAGGTCAAATTGCTTATGTAGGAAATACATAATATTAATGTTAATATTTGAAATGCAAGGCAATTATTATTTTAGCAAGCAACTTTCACATTAAAAATAAAACTAATGTCAGCTTGTAAAAAAGGATATCACAAAACTTAACAGAACAACTTTCATTTGAGAGATAAACACAATTGTAAGGATTGGTTTATTTGGATTGCAAAGTTACAGCGAAAGGAGAGGTAGTGAGAGATCTCTCAACCTCTGGTTCACCTCCCAAATGTGTACAACAAAACGGTCTGTGCTAGGCCAAGGAGGCAGAGCAGTCACTGTCTTCGATCCGATGGATGGCAGGGCTCCAGTTCTTGGGCTGTCTTGTGTTGCTTTCCCAGGAATGTTAGAAGAGGAGCAGATGGGCCTGGAAGCCATCCTTTCAGGGTCGCCAATGTCACATGTGCCGCCTTACCCTGCTGCTCCATGATGTTGGCACTATCCAGTGCCTTTAAATACCTGTATTGATAAACTGCAAATCACAGAGAAGCAACATGTTTGCTACTTTTTATTATTCTATTTGTGTAAATACGAAGTTACCTATCATGGAAATGAAAAGTAGCAAAGCACTGCTAAGCAGGGTCAGGTTGGAAAGCCTTCTCTGTTACAAAGTACAACACACATGTTATACTTCAAAATATATAACTCCATTCCTTGCAGTTTCAACAGTACGGTGATTTAGAAGAATGATCTCTCTTCTTTGTTAAATCAAATAACATAAAAAAGGGTTAATAGATGATTGCAAAGATTGGACCAAACACATGGGATTCATCAGGCATTTGGGATCAAGACACGTTATGCAGAAAAGGTGTCCATATGTTGAATGCAAGTTTCTTTGAAGGGCACTTATGTCTTCCAGTTGCTTTGAGATCTTTATTGACTGTGGCACATCTCAGCTCTTCTCATGACTATCTGATCCTGCCTTTTCATGCATTCTGCTGCCGATTGTCCGTGCTAATAAGTAAGGGAATACGTTTGGAAAATATAAACCTTATAATAATAAAGAATACATATTTTACTTTAGTATAAAATCTAATTTCTCATAGAAACTTCTATAAAGTGCTCAGAATAAAATTTTAATACATGCATGTGCGTAACATTTTTTCTGTTACAATAAAAATCTCATTTCTGTGTGGTTTCCTCACTGTTTTAAAGACAAAGAGCAGCACAGTTGTCCAGGGGACCCAAGTTTCTCTTCTGTAACAGGGATTGGTGAAGAAGCACAGAAGCAGGAGAGAGAAACAGAACCCTTGTGACTGTATTCCAATAAAGATCCATCCTTTCACCACGTTCCACCCCAGAGCTTGGGGTCATCTTCCCTTACCTCCTCTTTATAGCATTTTCTGTGTCCATTCACTTGGCTCATAGGTCTTAGATTTCTGGAAGAAATCCTAGTCTCCAGTGGACAGATGCACAACGGAAACACGATTTCTGCTTGTGCTGTTGCAGAAGTTCCCAGCCTACCAGCCAAAGCTAACATAAACCAGTCAGCAAAGCTGAGAAATACAACTGCAAGTGGTTGAGATGGATTGTAGACCCAATAACTCATGATTCTCTGGGCAGCTCTACGCTGACGAATGTTGTGATGGAGATCTTTCAAAGTACATGAAGTCCTAAAATTAAAAACGTAATTTAAATGCATACAGAGTCAGGGATACTTTATGTAATGCATACGATATTATCATTCATAATTTATCAGTTGCATATCCTGGTGCAGCAAAAAAAATCAATCAATCTGATAAATAGTAAGATCTAATGTGAGAAATAACAATAACACATAGAAGTGTTGGTGCACAATATGTTTTCCAATGAGTAACAGTGAAGTAAATTTTATTATTAAAAGGAAGACGAATTTAATAACTCTGACGATATATCATAGCAGACTGACAGAGCAGGGAAGAGAAAGGTATCCTTAAAATTATCACATTTCATTAAAAAATCAGAAGATGGGGCATTTCAAATATGAGAATAATTAACATCATTGCCAAATAATATTCAATGATGGTAAAATGGATTTTTAATATCTCCAGGCATTCTACATTACTTTACTTACATAGTTACTATTAATAATCATGAATACAATATATTGATTTTGCAAATAATAAAACTGGTTTTCATGAATGAAACATTTTATAATTCATGCCATTGGTAAGTGGCACAGACAGAACTTGGCCTGGTTTTAAAACATCTTCCATTTTCTACGGCATTGTATTTCTTGTCCTCAGAAAGACAGTCCTTTCAGGAAAACCCCAAAACCAAAGACTTACAATGAGGAAACAGGTTCCAAAAATCATGGCTTTCACCTTCACATCCATGTCCAGTGGGAAGTGAATGTCAAAATGGTCAGCATCCTCCATTGCTGATAACAAGCCGTTCCACTTCCTGATGATATTGCCAATGTTGGACACGCCATCAAGAGATTGAACCTGGAGTGATAAGGACGTATCCTCACGAGAATTGAAAGGTATTAAAGCACATGGATTAGACATCTCTGCTGCGGCAGTGTGCACTGAGACAGCACACATACAATGCAGGAAAGAATATAATTAGACACAGTTGTGGTGCAGCAAGTTAAGCTACTGCTTGAAACAACATCATCCCGTAACTCAAATAATTATAACTTCACATGAAGACTTTATGGCCAAGAAGGGGTCAGGGCCTTGAAACTAGTTACTAACTGTTCTGAGATATATTTTACAGTTCTTAGGGTAGTTATCTTTTTTTTTCATCTCCAAATGAATTTCAGAAGAGTTTATCAGAGCAGCTATGATTTGAATCGTTTATGTGGTTCTCTATGTTGCAATGGGTGGAAATTTGGAATTGAGAAGTCATATCTGATCCAGGGAAACCTGTACGTATAAGGAGGGGTGTGGCACCATATACTTTATATACCGCAAGTTCTGGATCAGTCCACCTACGTCTTTTAGCACATGTCAGAGTTGCAAAGTGCTTCAGCTTTTAATATGGGCACACAGGCAGCTGCCACGGGGGAAGATCCCCAACCACTAACTTCCAATGTCACTTGGGAATAGGAATTGTTACACACTGCCGCTGCAGCAAGTGGCTTATCTATGTTTTCTCTAGTCGTTTCTTAAATAAGCAATGATGAATCACACAGTAATTATAAATTAAAAAATTAGAAACGTTTAAAAGGCATCATAGGAATTCTCATGTGAAGGAGCAGTTTTAGTATATGGTTAGCTTTCCGAGTTGCAAGGTGCTCCACGAATTCTCTTTCAGCAGTCTGAGAAATGTTACTAGGAATTTCTCTTATCAGATGTATAAGGTAACAAATTACAATTTTACAGTCACTGTGGGATAAGGCAAAAAAAATCTTTTTCTTGAGAAAATATTACAAAATATGATCTATTATGTGTTTCATCTACACTGTCAATGGTATCTTACTACTTGAAAATGTATACAGACTTTGAATAAACAATTCACACACGTAATGAAGCAACCATGTAATCCTTGTTCTTTAAAATACTAAATCATTTTAAAAAGCACTCTATACATCTTGTGATATGTGCAGCACTTGTGTTACCTACACGCTACATTCCTATCTTTGGAAAAATGGCTAATTAATTATATACAATAATTGAAAACTTTTGGAGAGAGAGAGAGAGAATTCCATCATCTTGTCACGGGTCTTCTCCCCTAGATGCTTGTGGAAGCCAGAACAGAACCAAGGACTTGAGCCACACCTGATGCCTCTGAATGCTCATTTGCAGCAAGGTGAGCTGAGAGCAGGGTAGCCAGGACACTGAACTAGGGACTTGGATATGGCACGTGGGCATTCCAAGTTATGCTTTACCCTACATTTTCACAGCATCAGCTCTCAGAGTTTAGAATGTGAAATCGTTTCTTTTGATCCTCATCCAGCACTGAAGTAATAATAATAATAATAAAAAAGAGCTCACATTCTGGGAACCATCAACTTGGCAGCTCTTTTCTTAGGCCACTTTATTCATTCGTGTGAAACAGAAAACACCTAAAATAAAACCATTCTGTAGTCTGTTAGGAAAAACTCTGCAGATAACGTTTTTATAAATCCTCACCTCAAAAACAGAATCGGAACCACAGCCGTACGTTGAGCACGGCCCACGCACGTTCAGTACATTCTCTTTCCTCTCATTTTGGATACTGTAAACCGCCCTGCACAGATTCCAATGCTCTGCAACAAAGCCAAGGGTGACCCCGGGGGGACACTGCACCTCCAGCTGCAAGTGAAATGATGAGGGTTAGGAAGCTACAAAGCCATAGACTTACATCAACACAAGCCAGATGTGTTCTTAATTTATTCACAGATTGGAGAAATGACTGTTGAGAGAGTCATCCTCTTGGTTTATGGGCTCCATTCTGAGGGTTCTGTATCAGCGAGCCACCTGACATGATGCTTCATTCTCTCTAGGACAAAGAGCTTGCATTATTACTACTTGCTATGAAACAGCTAGGAGCCCAAGCTCAGAGTTTAGAAGATCTTTCTTTCTGTCTCTTCTCTCTATAAAAGTGCCTTTCCAATGAAAATAAACAAATCTTAAAAAAAAATTGAAATTACAAAATTATGGAGCTGGAGAACAGGTTAGTTATACCCAAGGCCTGAGGATGAAGACAGCTGCGGGGTAAAGGGAGCGAAAGGGTATAATAAAAGAGGATTCAGGCATAGGCATGTGACATAGAAGTTAAGATACTGCTTGGGTGCTTCCATCCTGAATCAGGTACCTGGGGTTGAATCCCAGATGTGCTTCCTAGTCCAGCTCTCTGCTAACGCACACTCTTAGAGGCAGCAGAAGGGGACTCAAGTGACTGGATCCATGCCGCCTTCCTGACAGACCTAGACTGAGTTCCAGGACCCCGGCTTTGGCACGACTCAGCCCTTACTGCTGTGGGGATTTGTAAACCAGGCCGTGGAATAGCTTTGTCACTCTTTCTCTCTTTCATTAATCATAATTAAAATTGTAAAAGAGAAAATAGGGTTTTCAGTGGTGGTGGTGGACACAGGAATTGTGACAGCTGATAAGACTAAATAAATGCCATGCACGAAATAATGTAAGAATGAAAAAAAGCGTAAATTTGACAAATTTGGGATGTTGATTTGCTTTGCACTGTTCCTAGGTTTCTGTATTGTCAGAGGGCCTCATTCATAGGTTTTCATTTAAAAAATTCATGTTACACATCTGAAGAACAATGGCCATTATGTTGCAAAGATCAAAGAGGTAGAGGTTTACTTCAAATACATTTGTTATTGCAAGCAGTAAAAATAAAGCGGCAAAATGTTTGAGGACAGCAGACCATATTCATTGAACATAATACTGCTCATAGGATACTACACGCACAGTGTGTCAGGTACATATTTGCTCTGCAACTTCCAAACAATAGACTATCCTGACAGACAGGCACTGTTCATAGTTCCACTTTACAGGTAAAAAAAAATTCAGGTATGGAGATGCTTATAACTACAGTTTAGCAAACACTGACCCATAGCGCAGCATGCACCTGTCCCAGTGGTCCTATGTGGTGCCAGTGAGCGCAGTTTATGAGTCAGAACATTGAGCCTCAGAGAGGATAAGGATCTTGTCCCATAAAAGTTTTGTATCTAAAATTCAAACTCTGATTAGCTTCTTTTTTCCCCTGTAACAAATATTTTCTTAGAACTTCAGAGGTAATAAAAAAGCAATTCAACTCTAATTTGGTACATCTATAGTCTAGTTCCAGCTCTGGCTTCCGCCAAATGTGCCAATCTCATCAAGCTCTTAACCTTTGTGAAGCACTCTCTATCTGTCGAAAGGAAGGATGGTTGAGAGGGTGTAGAAAGGATAGCGTTATACAAGTCTCTTAAGATATTATCACTATCTGAACGCACGTGTTTGAATTCAGCATCAGCTATGTGGTGGCATGTAGGTACTTTTAGGAAAACCTGGGTGACTACTTCGTCAGTCCTGGTAAATTTCTAAATCAGTAGACACAACTCACATGATTGTAATCATTGTCTAAATAACCCTCAAATGCTCGGCCCACCAACTTTCCCTTGAAAAACTTAAAACTACTGTAAAAAAAATAATAAAAAGCCCTCTAATACTTCCTTGGTGAGATGATTCCAGCTCCTTCCTTCCTGTAATCATGTTTTGCTCTGACTCAAAGAGCCCGGAAACGCTCCCCTGTAAGGTTTGGAAGGAGTACGGCCATGCTTGAAGAGTTGGATCAAGAAGAGAATAGGGCCCGGCGCGGTGGCGCAAGTGGTTAAAGGTCCTCACCTTGCACGCCCGGGATCCCATATGGGCGCCGGTTCTAATCCCGGCAGCCCCGCTTCCCTTCCAGCTCCCTGCCTGTGGCCTGGGAAAGCAGTCGAGGACAGCCCAAAGCTTTGGGAACCTGCACCCGCGTGGGAGACCCGGAAAAGGCTCCTGGCTTCGAACCGGCATAGTATCGGCCCGTTGCGCTCACTTGGGGAGTGAATCATCGGACGGAAGATATTCCTCTCTGTCTCTCCTCTCTGTATATCCACCTTTCCAATGAAAAAATAATAAAAATAAATCTTTAAAAAAAAAAAAAAAAAAAAAAAAAAAAAGAAGAGAATAGCAGGTTAGACTTCCAGTGTCTGACCTCTTGCCTAGCGGAGGGGCAACAGAAGCAGCAGCAGGTGCATCTGAAAGGCCTCAGCATTGTCATAATTTCCCGTCCCATGCAGTCAGTGACCCGAAGCACAAAGGGTCTTAGTGTACGATAAGAATTTCTGCCGTAGTCATCGGTGTCTTCGGTCACGGAGTAAACCATCTGGTTGGAGTTGTTTTTAATATCGTAGCTATTATTAGTTTCGAAATGTGTTCTCACTAAAAAAGAAAACCATCTTGAGTTAGAGCCACTTTAAATAAGCATCTACAAGGATTTGTTTACTTACTTCTTAGGAGTTGAAGACATCGCAAGTGGAAAATATGCAATTGAATAGAGCATTAAAAATAACCATTCTGTAAATTGTAAGTAATTCTGAATATTTAAAACATTTTTCTAAAGAAGTTGAGTGTAAAGTGACATTTCAAACTCTCCCATGTAAAAGCAGGGACTGAGACACCCTTCCTGGAGTATCTAAATTTGGAACAATTATAAAACCATTAAAGTATAATTATATATTGGACCACAAAGAATGCACCAGAATGACTAGCTTCCACACTAATTTCAAGTAAGAAAATTAACCAAGGACAGTGAAAGGCCATATGTGGTGGCGAGACAAATATGTCAAGCCAGTACAGAGAGAATCAGTAATCTTATAAAGATATAGTAAGGACAGGCATTCGTTTAAGCATAATCAGCTCTTTTTTTCTTCCAAAGCAAGGGCACTGAAACAGAAGGAAGCAGCGCTGGGTTCAAGTTCAGCCCTGCCCTGTGTGAGCTAGCTGTAGTGCCCGCGCTAAGTCCTTGACCTCTTTACTCCTTTGCCTCATGTAGGAAAGGTGCATACAAGGAGAAAGAATGAGCATGCGAATGCTGATTAGACAAAATGAACGTCCTTTTGAAGTTTAAGAACTTACCAGTCAATGAAAAATATGTACACAAATATTTAAAATAATGTCATTTATTTCTTAAAGATAATACAAAAGAATTTCTTGTTGAACTGCTCAAAATGACATAAAAGAATTAGCTATTGAATAATAAAAACAACCGTCTGATTAAAATACTGAATACTAAAAAGTTAGACATACTTTCCAGAGGCTCAAAATGTTGAAGAACGTGTATATTGTCCAGCTGTTGAGAAAGAGCAAAGAAATTATTAATTAGAAAATGAGCGGACGTAACAGGTATCAAAACATATCCCTTGATACCAAAATACATTTTTGAAACTGGACAGAACAATTATCAAGAGAAATTAGATAATTTACATCTGATCGTATGGGTAACAGTGAACTTATTCAGTCAAGAATACCAAGAATACTTTCCTCATGTGTTACTTAAAAGCAAGACCAAAATAGGCAGGTATTTTGCATAGCGGCTGAGATATCACTTGGAAATTCTACATTCCATACCAGAGCTACCTGTGCTTGAGTCCCAGCTCTGATTTGGACTCCTGCTTCCTGCCAGTGCCTACCCTGTAGGCAGAAAGTTATGGCTCATCCGATAGGTTCCCATGTACATGAAGGATGCCGGTGTTGGTTTCCTGGCTCCTGGCTTTGACCTAGTGCAGCTCAGGCTACTGCAGCCATCTCAGAATTGAACTAGTGAGTGGGAGATTTATCTTTCTGTCTGTATCTGGCTGTTTTTCAAATAAATCAAATAACTAAATAATAATCAGATGCCTGGTATGGCAGAACATCTACTTGCTATGGTAACAGCTTCTCGAAGAAGTGGCGTTGTATAGATTTTTTTCTAGATGATGCCTTAGTGACGAATCTCTCTGACATGAAATCCACAGGCTGAAGATGTTTAGGAAGTTCAGCACCATTAAACAGGAAAAGGCCTCTCAGAAGGCAATTCTCTTGATGAGTTGGGGACAGCAGATCAGATGGAGTAGCTTGCATGGAGTGCTCCATTTTAAATCACTTAACAGTAACCTCTGGGAGAAGTCAATCTATAGACTTGTACTCATACTTGAATAAGGACAGTTACTAAAGAGGGCAGAAATCACATGAGCAGTATTAGGAGGGGAGAGAAGATCCTTAGAAAGCAACACAGGAAAAGGGAAGGTTGGGAAGCCTATGGAAAAATCTGTACCTTAACTTAGGAATCACTCTGGAGATAGCTTGATGGAGCAATTATCTGCTCTGAAACACTCTATCTGAAGAGAAGCAATCTCCTTTAGGCCAAACTGATCAATTCCATGGAACTCTAAATTCTTAGAGTATTCCAAAACCTCGAGCCCACAACATGGCCTGAAATGCCATACTTCACCAAATACTCATTGAATGCATTCATTTCAATATGTGCGTGAGGGAATGAATAGACTTTTAGAATATCTGAACATGAATCTTCTGTGCCATTATTAATTACAGGAGGGTATAGCAGGACACCATCCATGCTTACAAACATTCCAGAATGAAAGTACAATTAGGGGAGCGGTTAAAATGTCTTACAAATTGTCAAAAGTGGCCACTAAAGCATATTTTTAACCTCTTGAAGTTTGCATTTCATTCTCGCATAAAAGAGCACGGATGATGCCTACATGATGATAATGTAAAATCCAAGAGATCAGGAAAGTTACTGAGGTTTTAGAGTTAGTAGGGGTACCATTTTGGGCACTGGCAGGTAGTTCAGTAGATTCAGCTGTTGCTAGGATACCCGCATCCCATATTAAAATGCTCTTTGGAATCTTGGCTGCTCTGTTTGTGACTACGCTTCTCTTAATGTGCTTGGCAATACGATGGATAATGGCTCAATTACTTGGGCTCCTGCCAGCCACGTGTAAGTCACAGGTGCAACTCCAGGATCTCGTCTTTGGCTTGGTCTGTTTCCCATTCCTGTGGCCATTTGGGCAGTGAACCAGCAGATATAAGATCTCTCTGTTGCTCTGCTTTGCAAACAAATAAACCTTTCTGGAGTCAGATATTTTTTTAACTGCGAATACGTGATTTACTAGTTTTCCCCGTCATTTTAATTAAAAATGTTATTGAAAGGGGAAATGGAACTAAGTATGTTAATTGAAGTTCAATCACCATTATAGGAGGAATTGAAGAACAGCTTTAAATTGCTTACATAAATGCAGCACACACCTTTAAAAGAGAAATGATTCCTGAGAATATTAAATTGATTTCTTAATTTATCAACAAGTACATAAGGAAACTTTCTAAATTTTATGCATTATAAAAATCTGCAAGCCTGCAAAATAATGTGGCAGTTTATTCTGGTATTTTAAAGCTTTTGCCTAATGCAAAAATCCAAGGTTCTCTTTTTTAAAAGTGTTTATTCTGAACAAGAGAGTTACTGAGCAGCACAGGTGCACGCACGCAAACACACACACACACACACACACTCACTCACACACTCACACACACACACCTTTCCTCCTCCACTTCATTCCCCACAGTGACTGACAAAGCTACGTGACAGGAGTTTCATCTGGATCTCATACAGGGGTTGCAGAGCTCAAACACTTCAATGATTTGTGCTGCCTTTTTCTGAGTGTTAGTAAAGATCGGGATCACAAATGAAGCTTTCAGGACATGGACGGGTACCCACATGGATGCAGATGTCACAGACGGTGGCTTCACCTGCCATGCCAGAACAGTGGTCTCCAAGTCTTTTTTTTTTTCCTAATCCAGTAGGTTAAGGTGCTTCAAAGATTTTGTGGAAGAAATGAAATTGTAAAGTAATGCACATTTCTACAAACCTTTTGAAGATTCCTTGAATTATATTTCACACATAAACACTGTAGTATCATGCCAATGAGTTTCACTGCATAAAACGAACAAAGGCCCTCCCTATCAATACATAAAACTAAAAAAAGAAGTAAGTCAACTCCATGGAATAGTCAACTACCTGCAGAGACACATGAAGTGGGAAGTTCTGTTAATGATGGTTTTTATTTCTTTTTAAAAATGTACATTTGAAATGTAGAGTGAGAAAGAGTAAGGGGCAGAGAGAGTTAAGAGGGAGAGATTTTTATGCTCCAGTTCACTGCTCAAACACTTGCAACAGCTAGGGATGTTAGAAAATAGGCCTGGACCATGAAGTCCATCCGTGTCTCCCAGATGGGCAGCAGCACAAGAACTTGAACCACCAAGTGCTATTTCCAATAGTGGGCATTAGTAGGGAACTGCTTTCGGAGTCAAGCCAAGATTCCAGCACAGGCACTCTAGCAGAGAATAAAGCTACACCAACAGGGTCCCAACCACTACTCCAAACAGCACCCTTTTGATTTAATGATTATTATTTTTAAATTGTTCTTTAAAATTTATTCAAAAGGCATGGAGAAGGCTGCAGTGAGGTGGGGTGAGGGAGAGAGACAGAAAGAGACAGAGTCAGGAGCAAGAAACCAGAAGTGTGAGTCAGGTCTCCCTCTCGGGAACAAAAAAACTCTAGTTATTTGGGCAATCTTCCTGGTCTTTAAGGGCTTGCAATATGAGACACTAGAGTTAGGAGTTAGAGCACAGAAGTCAGGTACTCCAATGTGAGACAACGATGTTCTCAAACTCTTTGGTTAAACTTCTGGTAGCATATAGTGCTTGCCAATGCGTCCTGCTTTCAGAGACAAAACAAGATCAAGAAAGAGATTTCTACCACAATTTGTATTATTTTCATTAAGCAGCTTTCTTTTAAGTTTCTGAAATGGATTTTAAAATAATATTATTTGCAAAACAACTTTGCGCATCACCCCAGTTTTTGCATCAGAATGTCTTTGCAGATAGACATTTGTGCTTTGTCAAGGAGTCTCTGGAACTTGGCTTGAAAGAGAATTCTAGATCGGTCTATAGTTTGCAATTTTACTGTATATTTTGGGGATTGACAGAAGTGGACAGTGACCCTTTGGGAAGATGAGGACAGAAGTGAGCTAAGACTGTCTTTAACCCACCCTCTGTCTAATGCTCTGTCATTTGTTGTTGATTTCCTTGATGATAACTTTCCTTGCAAGAGGTCGGCCTCCACGACTGCTTTTTCCTACCGCTGTCACTATTCCTGCTTTTCTATGTCCATGGAGAATATATCCTGAATGTCATAAAACTCAACAACAATCCTTTATAAAGATTATATTCATTACACAAAGCCACCCCTCTTCACGTTTGGAAATTAATACCACAATTCCTATAGCCTAACAAACTGGGCATCTGCCACCATTGCCTCATCTCTTCATTTACTCAGTCTTTGTCTCCTCTGAGATCCCATGGTCATTCTTCACATACAATAATCCGTAATTGTATTGCATACCTGAGCTAAGTATTCCAGGCCTGGAGGGCAGTTTGGTATAGGAGGTGGCACTGGCATCCAAGTTATTGCAGCATGTTGGTTCGGTGTAGGGTATTTGCCAGGCTGAGACTGGATCAGTTGAGTAGTACCGATGGGCTGGTACAAGGGGAAGGTACTGGGATTCTGAGTAACATGACGTCCTATTGGCAAGCCTGCTGTGTTGGCTGTAGGTGGAGGGACAGCTGTTCCCGAGGGCCCTGTGTTTAAAACAAGTCAAAGTGTTGAACATTATTATCACTGTAAAATACTGAAAGAGAACATGAGCTTTTACATGGACGTGAACTAGACCATACTAACACACTTGCGCAGAATACACTGTTCTATTACCTGTGTATCGTGTCCCAGCAATGTACTCAGTGGAAGATATACCTTCATTTCTTCTTCTTCACACTTGTGAGACAGTTTTTTTCTTTCTCATAGATGCAGAAATAAAGTTGTGGCACTAGGTAACATGCTGACCTCTTAATACATGAGAGCCCTCTTTTGGCAATAACATATTTTATTAGATTGCAGTGGAATTATCACAAGGCTTAGTAGCACAGAATCCCCATTGTAGATTTCTGTTATCTTCATTCTTGCTGTTGCTTAAGGTCACAAACATTGTAGGCTCATTTACTTCCTCTGTTGGGCTGCCTTTGATTCCGTCATGTTTCTATCACCACAATCAAGTTTTCACACTCTTATTTCAGTCTGATGTGTTGGATATTACATTTCTTAAGCTTATTGTCTTAATAATTGGAGCTGATATGACAAAAGTCCCAGACTGTAGTTGTTTAAACAAGTATTCGTTCTTCCAATTCTGGGGACTGGTCAGCACAAATTCAAGTGCTTGGCATGATTGTGTGGAATGAGAACCTTGATCTTGATTTGGAAACAATCACCCTCTTCCTGTGTCCTCACTGGCTAGAGAGAAATGACCCCTGGCACCTGTCTCCTTTAAGGGCACTAATCTCACGAAGAGAGATGAAGGGCTCACCCTCATAACTTAAATGCTTCTGAAAATCCTCATCTATGAATAATGTTATGTGGAGAATTAAAGCTTAATGATGTGGATTTGTGGTGGAGTGGTGGGTCGTGTGAGGGGAATTGTATAAGTGTCCAGGTCATAGAATGTATCTTTCAATTGAATTTCTGTGAATGCAAGAGCAGAGCAGCCCACAAGCCTTTTTTTCTGAACTGCCAGGAACGCCACACCTAGATAAAGACTTCCTTCTTCAAAATATTTTGTAAAATAATGTCTTACAGGAATTCTTGTGGTTAAAAACAAATTACATGATTACATAAGCTATTTTGTGTTAAGATTTTAATACTGATGTATTTCAGTTAAAATTAAAAAGTCAACTTGGTATTATCGGGATGTCCTAGATGCGATCTGACTTTTAAAATGTGATGAATCCTTGGTCACTGGGCATGAACGAATTTGAAAATATAAAACGAGATTTTCTACATTTTCAAAAGGAAACGTTTAAATTTGCTAGTAAATTTAGGAAAGAAAATGTCAATATAGTCTTAAATAGCAGCTCAACATAGCAGGTGTTTTAAAATAATTAGGAAGCTGTTCATAAAACTGCAGATATCTGGACTCCAGGCAGATCTACTGCATGAGAAACTGTACAGCAAAATGCAGTAAGATCTCCTTTTACTGATCCTTTTTTTGGAAAAATATACAATTCAGCATCTTTTAGAATATATGCACAAAGTTGTACAAGCAAAAGTATTATCGAAATTCTGAAGTTTCATTACTCCAGAAAGGACACATTCACATTTCTCCTTCCCAGAGTCCCCAGAAACCACTGTCCTGGCAGCTTTGCTTAAAGTGGACATTTCATGTAAATGGAATAAATCGTGCTGTATGGTCAGTTCCTCTCAATTAGCATGCTTTCCGTATTTATCGACATTATAGTACACATCGATACTTCATTTCTTTTTATTACTAATACTTTACCATATATATATATATATAGGAACACTCTAGGCATTATTTATTTTGTTAAATTTGCATCCACTTATTTGTTTAATGGAAAGGTACTGAGACAAAGAGCAAACGACAAAGGCAGAGACATGAAGCCAGAGAGACAGAGAAAGCCTAGAAGCACCCTCTGCTGCTGTGCTCCTCAGACGCCTACACAACCAGGGCAAGGCCAGGCTGATACCCACAGGCAAGAAGTGAATCTAAGTGTCCCATGTGGATGGCAGGCCCCCCTCCTACATCTGTCAAGATATGTGCCACAGGGGCTGGAACTCCAACAAAGGCACTCCAACATGGAATGTGGGCATTCCATGTAGCATCTTAATAGTTTTTCCAGATGCCTCTCCTTCTGTGCCCTTTAATTAGTGACTGGCATTTGGGTTGTCTTCGTTTTGGTCTATTACAAATACTTCTGCAATGATCCATGCGCAACTTCTGTGTGGGTGTATACTTTCCATTCTCTTCTTATGAGTGAACTTGGCTTGGGTATTGAGTATTCTGAGGCACTAACAGACTACGTTTCAAAGTGACTTCACTGTTTTCCATTCCTGCCCGTAGTGTATAAGTGTCCGCTTCCTCTACATCCTCCGCAGTGCTTGCTCGTTGTCTGGTTTTCGTTTTAATCAAGTGAATGGGTTGAAAGTGATGCATTACTGCGACTTTGATTCTGTTTTACTGAAGATTATTGATGTTCAGCACCTTTTCATGTTCTTGCTTATCTGCACATATTCTTTGGAGAAATATCCATTTGAATCTTTTGCCTGTTGTAAAATAAATTTGCCTTTTTTTTTTTTTTGCTGTTGCATTGAGAGAGGATATTCAAAATAAAACTACCTTGTCAGACAATTGTTTCATAAGCATTTGGTCTCCTTTTGTAAGCTGCTTTTTCTTTTGCTTGATAGTGTCCTTGATAAAAACAATTAAGTTTTAAGACAGGCTTAATTTTATTATGCTTTGTTTCATTGTACTTTGCAGATAATTTTGTAACACAAGATGTAGGGCAGTCCTATTTGCTCTATCTTCCCAGCAGCAAGCCCTCAGTGAGATTGTCCTTGTCACATGTTGATTCTCACAGCATTTCTAATGTTCTCATTATTATTATTGTCTCTGTTATGGTGACCTGTGATCAGTGCTGTTTGATATTACTCTTGTAATTATTTGTGATGCCATGGATTACATCCTTATAAAATTGTGAACTTAACTGATAACTGTGTGTTCATTCTGATTGCTAGACTGGCATCTATTCCTTCAGGACTCTGCCTTTCCTCTGTCGCCTATGTTCCCTAAGATAGAACAATGTTTAAATCAAGGCAGCTAATAATTCAATAATGACCTCTATAAGTGTTCAAACGAAAGAAGAGTCATATACATTCTACTTTAACCAGGAATGGGAAATCTGTTTTCTGCTGAAAGTCATTTGAAAACTTACAACATCATTCATACATCATAAGAAATTATCAGCTTCAAAATTAACCTGCTATAGACTTATTGATCTTTGAATCCTGCCTGTGGTTGCCCTGGCAGGACTAGACCAAATGATTTTGTGGCTCTTACACTGCCCACAGGCCTGATGTTGCCCACCCTGCCTTAAATTCAAAGCTAGGAATGATTAAGTTTAAGAAGTAAGGCGTGTTGCATCTGAGATAGGCCCAAAGCTGTCTTGTGCCAAACAACAAAGCTACAAATGCAAATGAAAAATTCTTGAGGAAAATTAAAGTTCTGCTACAGTAAATCTGTACATGCTAAGATAAATGGTAACAATACCGAGCAATAATATGGCTTTCACAATTAGGTTAAAAGACCAAACCATCTGTAATTTCTTACGCCAAAGCCTACTTCAGAGCAAGGGCCTACACCTCTTACAGTCTGAGGACTGAAACAGGTGAAGAATCAGCAAAAGAAAGTTCCAAGCTGGCAGCACACTTTCCTGGGCTTCAGCAAGTAAGCCCGTTACATAACATACTTGTGTAAGATGATACAGCAAGTGCTGATGTAGGTGTGGGCAATAAGCTAGCCAGAAGGTCCAGCAAACACAGTTGCTGAGTGTGGCTGCATTGCACAACATATTTTTCAATGTAGGCTGAACACCATTATAACAATAGAGATGAATCCATCTTCAAAACTTTAAAGAACAGGCAGAGTCTCTGGTTATAGGCTGAAGCAGAAGTTTGCTTTAAGTTGAAGCCAACACCCCTTCACCATTCCAAAAATCCTAGGGCTCTCAAGAATGATATTTATTCTGTTTATACTCTATAAGTGGTATCAGATATGATCATATTTGTTTACAACATGGCTTATTGGATTGTAATAAGACCACTATTGACATCTACTACTCAGAAAAAAAAAAAAGACTTATTTAAAAACACTGAGGGCTTGGCACAGTGGCTCAGTGGCTCAACCCCTGTTTTGCAAGCATCAGAATTCCATATGCACACCAGTTAGGGTTCCAGCTGCTCCACCTCCCTTCTAGCTCCCTGCTTGTGGCCTGGGAAAGCAGTCGAGGATGGCCCAAAGCCTTTGGACCCTGCACAATGTGAGACCCAGAATAAGCTCCCAGTTCTTGGCTTTGGATCAACTCAACTCTGGCCATTGTGGCCACTTGGGGAGTAAACCAGCAGATTGTTCTCTCTGTCTCTCCTCTCTGTAAATCTGCCTTTCCAATAAAAATAAAATAAATCTTTTTTCAAAACGTACAGATCTTTTAAAATAAGATTTATTTATTTTTATTGGAAAGAGGGATATACAGAGAAGAGGAGTGACAGAGAGGAAGATCTTCTGTTCGATGGTTCACTCCCCAGACAGCTACAGCAGTTGGAGCTGAGACAATCTGAAGGCAGGAGCCAGGAGCCAGGAGCTTCTTCTGCGTCTTCCACATGGGTGCAGGGTCCCAAATCTTTGGTCGTCTTCGACTGCTTTCCCAGGCTACAAGCAGGGAGCTGTATGGGAAGCAGGGCTGCCGGGATTAGAACCGGCGTCCATATGGGATCCTGGGTGTGCAAGGTGAGGACCTTAACCATTATGCTATCATGCCAGACCCTAAAATAAATCTTTTTGAAAAAATGCTTCAACTCACTGATAATGTGCCTTCTTATTCAAGAATAGAGGGGCACAATTAAATTAACATCATTTGCTGGCATACTCATGCATACTGTAGCCCATAAATCAAAATTTAATTACAACTTTTAGGTCTGGTATTTTAAGTCCCAGTATTCCATACAGATGTCATGT